CTGTTTCTCTTCATTTAGAGTTGTGCCCCATAAGCAAAAGAAGGTTTTATGGGCTTTTCTCCCAGGAGCTTAACTCCATTCACATCAACTCTACTTTGAGGAGGCATCTCTTCCCCAGTCGCATTTGGAGTACCTTCCAACCTGAGGGGCTCATTTTCCTGACAGTGTTTCTCTGCTATTCATAAGGTTTTCAGTGACTAAATATTCGGAAGTAGTTTATTACTCTTTCTTCCTAGTCTGTCTTTGTCTAGAAGCTTACCAGGTCAAGTATATAAAGCAGTATAAAAGATTAAATTGTCAGTCAGCTATTTGGGAAAACTTAATACTTTTTTTCCTGTAAATATTATTAGTACTTATAATTTTTTTTTAAAATTGTAACTTTTAATTCAGCAATCATAATGTGAAAATTGCATTTTAAACTGTACAACTTAAACTTGAATTAAAGCATTAACTGTTTGGATTCTGTAACATGCCTTTTATATTTTCACCTATATACAGAATTCTTATGAACGTAACAGAAAAATGTTAATGGTTATAACTTTTCTAATTAATTTTATGCTTAAAGTTACCCACTAAGATGGTGATTTCAAATATTTTTTGCTTGTCTCTAAGCTAATTAAGATTGCATACTAATCAGACATTGTTGTGGGATGTGAGAAGTGAAGCTTCTAGCCACCAGGACAATTGATTTAATGACTCAAAATGAGGTACCCAACCTTTTAGAATCTGTATGTGAGTGTTGTTGTTTTTGTTATGTGTTGTTGGTTCTATCACATGGTGTCCCTCTGTAGAGTTTCTGAGGAGCTGCTGATGGGCTTGAACCACCAACCTTGCTTCTAACAGTCCAGTACTTATCCGATGGTACTACACCAGTCATCGTTGTTGTGCCCTTGAGTCGTTGCCAACTCATAACAACCCTGTATAGGGTTTCCAAGGAGCAGCTGGTGGGTTTGAACTACCAAACTTGTAGTTAAGAGTCCAGTCCTTATCCTGCTGCTACACCAGGACTCCACAGTAGTCAATGTTGCTACTGTTAAACTGACATGGAGTTGGTTCTGACTCAGCAATCCTGTGTAAGATTTTCAAGGAAGGGGATCACAAATGGGATAGTTTTATAACCTGTAGTTCCTTAGTTAATCCCTTACTTGATTTCTTCGGCTTTTCAGATTTATCAGTTGATTAATGTGGATGAATTTGAGTCATTTAGATGCAGATGACTTCACCACTTGATTGGATCACTGCTAAATCTACTATGAATGTCTTTGCATATTCTTTCTATCTAGTAGAGTCAAACACAAAGACATGTGAATGACATTTCATTCTATGTAATGAAATGCCCTGCCTTGCTGGACAGTTAAGAGTCCTCAGGTCAAATTAAGAGCAAACCTTTCTTTGGTAAATGAGTACTAGGTCATGGAAACACTATCACTGTAGTAGCCCACAGGTTTGCCAGTTCCTGGCTCATTTCCTTGTTGGATAGAATTGGAGCCACACAAATATGTTTGTGCTGCTTTGTAATGGTTGTTTCATGTAAACTGGATTTAATTCTCTTCATAAGTGCTGTGGAGTTGGTTCCGACTCATACCGACTCATTTCGACTCTGTGTAGGGTTTCCCATGAGCAGCTGATGAGTTTGAACTGCCAACCTTGTGGTTAAGAAGTTCATTACCTCACATATAGCGTCTCTTACGTGAATTAAATTTTTCTGATTACTGGAAGACGTCAGGTTTATGCATGAGATTTAATATTAACTTGGAAACATATTTGCCACCTATAAAATTCTTGCTGTGACAATGGTGACTTGGGGTCATGTGAGCAATTACTTAAAAGGAAGTACTGTGTACTTGGGTTGCTGTTGCGCTGTTAAGTGCCTTCCAGTCAATTCTGACTCATAGTCACCCTGTGTAGGGTTTCCTAAGAGTGACTGTTGAGTTTGAACCACCGACCTTGTGTTTCAAACCGTCCTTGTGGTCCAGTGCTTATCCTGTAGTATCACATATGTGAATGTCACATAGCTTATATTATTATCACAATTATCAACTTAAATGTTCTAGACTCGTAATTGAGTTTCTGATTCTGAGCCTTATTTATCAGACACATTACTCTGATCAAACCAAACTTGTGATCAACTCAATTCCAACTCTAAGCAACCCTGTAGGTCAGAGAACTGTCCTATAACATTTCCAAGACTATTTTGGAAAGCAGATTGCAGCATTTTTCTTCCCTGAGCAGCTGGTAGGCTTAAACTGCCAATCTTTCAGTTAGCAGCCAAGCGCTTAACCACAGAATCAAAAGGACTTCTTTATAATTCAGATTCTTATTGTTGTGGTTCAATTAGTTCTCAATAGTGTCAAATTCCTGTATTCCTCCACCTTCCAAAGATGACTACCATAGCTTTAAAAAAAAGTTTTCCAGAAAGAGTTTACACCAAGTCAACATTGATATTGAGTATTTCCTCAAGATTTTAGCATAAAGAAAAAAGATTACTGATCATTAAAGAATGAGAATGCTAAAATGTACAAAATCAGAACTTTTCTGTTCTTGGCAAAACTGCATTTATTTCATCATAACTTTAAACAAGAGATTACAAAATGTTTTGTCTTCTTCTACAGGCATTATGTACAATCTTGGGTTAAGAAAGGGTTGCAGCGAGGATCGGGGTTGTCTCCCATCACTGAGAATGAGGAAGCTGCCAACCTGAGCCTGCTAGACTTGAATCAAGTAACTACAACTCTTTCTCAGGTAACTAACTATGTGAAGCTTTACCATTCGGTCCAACCTTTCATGATAATAGACTTTGCTTTTCTTTTTTTTTGTATCTTTAATTTATATGATACAAGTCTGAAATATGTCAGATAGACAAAAAGAACGTGTAACATTCCTCTGTACAATAGAAAGAATACTAATAAAGTAAACATCTTATGCATCCATCACCTAAGTTAGAAAATGAAATATGCATCTACTCTAAGAGTCCCTTGTGTGTTTCTTCTGGTAGTGTTTCTTATCTGTCATTCTAAATTTTATGTTAACCAAATCCATAATTTTCTAATTTTCTCAATTATGCATATACCTAAGGTGCTCTGGTAGTTTAGTCAGGCTGCTAACTTCAAGATCAGCAGTTCAAAACTACCAGCTGCTCTGTGGGAGAAAGATGAGGCTTTCTGCTCCTGTAAAAATGTATAGCCTCGGAAACCCTTTGTAGGGTTGCTATGAGTCGGAACCAACTCCATGGCATACCACCATCATCCTATGATATCTATAAACATTATTTTTTGTTGTTATGGATTACTGTCTTCCTTCTCCTGGACTTCTTTCAGGTAGCATGTATCATCTCTTGATATATGTTACAACTGACCACAAGGTCAGAGGTTCAAATGCACCAGGAAACCCCACACAGGTTGTGATGAATCAGAACCGATTTGACATCACTTAACAACAGTAACTCCGTGTAGTATTCTCTCCCACCTTCATAGTATCTGTGAATGCAGACCTAGAGGCTTCTCATTTAATTTCTCCACTTGAAGCAACTTCCAGAGATCTATTTAGGCAGAAGAGGCTAGATGGGAAACTAGATTGGGCTAGGGAAAGAAGGTAGCAGATTGTTTTCTCCTTATATAGATATTCAAACATACCCCTGCTTTCTGTCTGCTCCTTCATTCTTTCCTCAGATACCTGCTAAGTGCTTCTGGGGTCTTAAGGCAAGGATGGGCTCCTTCACATCATCACTTAATATTCTGTTATCTCTACTCTGCTATCTTCTGTATCCATTTCATATCATCCAAAAAATTGTTGAGAGCACCCATAATCTCTCTTGGCAAGTTGATACTATTTTATCTTTTATGTATGTTTTACTTCTGTTCCAGAAAAGCCAAATTGGACACATTAATTCAATTTCACATAAACTTGAAGTCTTATACTTTTATTTTATAATATTTATCTCTAAAAATTTTCAGGGACCATTTTTTTTTTTTTTTAATCATTGGAAACTAGCCTCCCTAGTTTCTGTAAATCAAATGCTAACCATAATCTCATGAATTACCAAACAATATGTCTGCTCAGAGATGCAACTTTTTAATTTAACTTTTTGTTTGAAGATTAGATTATTTAATGCATTCATACATTCTGTGTTTTAATATCACAAACTTAAAGCCTCTGTCAATTATTTAATTAAACTCTCTTCATTTCAAATTCTTTGCTTTACTGTATGAGTATGTTCTTAGTAAGTCTTTGTGGAAATCTATGTTTTAAAACTTTAATGTTTTAAAACATTGTATTAACTTTTTTAAAACCTTGAATTCATAAATGGTTGTTTAATGTGTTCTTTTCAATTCACAGGGCAATATTACTTCACAAGTTGTACTTGGAAAAGGTAAATTAAACATTTTTATGACTTCTTTCCACAGAAAACAAAGCACAAAGAGGAATCTAGTTATTGAGGGCTTTCCTCTCTCTCTTTTCTCATAACTCTTAGTGGTCACTCTTCTCTCCTCTGAACTAGAACAAGTAGACAATCTCACTTATTAAACTCAGATTTTAAAGTAAAGAGACTTTGGTTCAGGGCCCATCAGTAAAGTTCATGTTTTACTGCTTATGTTTTGTGATCAAAATAACAAGACCATTTCAAATCTTTCAATTCCTAAATTAAGACATGACCAGCTATCCCTAACCCACCCCCCAAATAAATGAAGTGGTATGAGTATGTATAGAATGTTAGTTTAAGAAGGCCATATAAATTATGTGACATTGCTTGATAAACAAAATAAAGCTATAGTATCACAGTATGAGAAATTAAATAGTGTACTTAAACATGTTTTGTTGAGATGAATATTTCCAGTTTTATGCCTCCCTTTTGTTGTCTCAGCCATCCTCTCTTATCTGCAGATGATAGAGTCTAGGTAGATGAAGGGGCATCAACAAGGTAATGGAAAAATGGAATTGAAAGAAAATGGACTTCTTCCAGAAACTTTTTGAACCCCCCTTGTATTAGCTATCAACTTGAGAAAACCCTCTCAAAAATGTGTATATATTTATGAAAATGTTTTTACACTTTTTGAATACACTGATATGCATGTATGTGTTAGGACTACATTCCCCTGAGTGTTTGAACTATCTCTCTGCAGGGAAATCCACAAACCTGAAGCCTGCATGAAATGAATAACTGATTATTTCAGGAGATACATTCCTAACCATACTTCTTTGTACCCCTCTCTAAGAGTTTCCATATTTTAGTAGCTTTTTATTTAGCAACATGAATATGCTGGACACATTTGTGATTCTACTCTGTATAGATGAACAAACAGATTTTCCCTTGAGTGACCTGGCACATCCACTTGAAGGACTGAGTTACCAAGATTTTGTCAGCCTGACAGCAACCATACAGGAAAAATCTCAGGAAGAGCTCCTGGTAAATACTACAGTGTCTAAAGAAACATGGTTAGATTATGAAGACTTCTGTGTATGCTTTCAGTAAGTATAAATGGATACTTATTTCTGTATGTTTCATATAGTGTCTATATATACCACTAAGTTTTAGCTGTCAAGAGGAAGAATTCAGTCAATGTTAGTCAGGTGTTGCTTCAAACAGAAGTCTTATAGGGGAAAAATGGGTGAATTTATTGTTTACGTAACACGTCAGTTGCCAAATCAATCCCAACCCAGTTTCAGCTTCTCCTCAAAGACTTGTTTGCTGGTTAAAATGAAGAAAATATTCTCAGTAAGATCATTTGATCATTTTTTGTTGGATCTGCAATCAACATTCCTGGAAGCAGCAGTCAAGAAATCAAAGGACATATTGTGTTAGGTAATCTGCTGCAAAAGACCTCTTTATAGTACTCAAGAGCAAAGATATCAGTTTGAGGATTAAGGTGCACCTGACCCAAGTCATGGTATTTTCAGTCACCTGATATGTATGTGAAAGTTGGATAATGAATAAGAAAGACCATAGTAGAACCAATGCATTTAAATTTTGGTGTTGGAGAACAATATTGAAAGTCCCAGGGACTGTCAAAAGAACAAACAGTTCTGCATTGGAAGAAGGACAGCCAGAATGCTCCTTAGAAGCCAAGATGGCGAGACTTGATTTCAAGTGCTTTGGACATGTTGGCAGGAGGAATCCGTTCCTGGAGAAGAACACCATGCTTGGAAAAGTGAAGGGTAACTAAAATGAAGAAGACCCCAATGAGATGGATTCACACAGTGGCAGCAGTGGCAGTAACAATGTAATCAAGAATAACAATTATGAGGATGGTACAGTGTTTTGTTTGGTTGTTTTTAGGGTTGCTCTGAGTCAGAATGGACTGAATGGCATCTAACAACAGCAAAAACAAGGCAATTATCTCAACAATTTGGTTATTTTGTTAACTTTCATCTCTTTTTATCATCTTATGCCTATAACGATTTGATTCTAAGCAAATTAATATGTAGTACTAGACTATTGAGTACAATAACAATAACTTTTTATAATTTTTTTTTTCAGGAATATATGTATTTTCCATAAGCCAAGTACATATTGCTTTAACTTTCAGAAATCAGAATTTAAGGTAAATATATTTTATTTTATATATGTAAAGAAGTAAATATCTCTCCCTAGGAAATTTTATAATTGTGTTTTAAGAGAGTCATGTTAGTGCATAATTACTTTCACATTTATCAAGCATTTCTAAATTCATAATAATTTTAAGAAAATAATTATGTTTGATATCTGATTTTGAAGCCTGTACCTCTTGACTAGGTACCACTTTCGAAGAAACAAGTTAGTGGCTCTAAAGTTAAATTTCCTAGTTTAAAACCCAATATTTACTCTCTATATGGGGCTCTGAGCAAGTTATTTCAATTCTCTTTTTCTCAATCTCCTCATCTATAAACTATGGGTAATGAGAGATTTACATCATAGAGTTAGGAGATAAATTAGATAACGCATTTAAAACACTTAGAAGAATGTCTGTTGCCTAGTTGTTGTTTAAATTAAAAAATGTCAACAAATCAGTTTGACTCATTGCAATTCTATGTAGAGCTGCCAAGGAGCAACTGATGAGTTTGAACCACCAACATTGTGGTTAGTATTCCAGTGTGAAAATAAATGGTGGCTGTCATTATTAAAGACAGTTTTCATAGGAGTTTTTGCTATGTATCATTGTCTAGATGTGACGCTGTAGGATAAGCACTGTACTGGAAGATAAGTAGTTCAAATCCACCAGTCACTTTTGAAAGCCCTATACAGGGTCACTATGAGTCAGAACCGACTGGATGGCACATAACTACAACAGATGATAGATAGATAGATCGATAGATAGATCGATAGATAGATAGATAGATAGATAGATAATTAATACCCTACTAAAGAGTATGGGAGTCCTGGTGTGGCGTTGTGGGTTAATGCACCAGACTGCAAACTTAATGCGCCAGACTGAAATGCAAGGTTGGCGGTTCAAACTCACTAGCTGCTCCTTGGAAACCCTATACAGGGTCACTGTGGGTGGGAGCTGACTCAACAACAACAGCAGAGTATGATTCTCATTGTGATTTATTGCAGTTCTCAGATGAACGTGTGTCTTACTATCTATTTGTGGATAGTTTAAAGCCCATTGAACTACTGGTTTGCTTTTCTGCACTGGTGCGCTGGGGAGAATCTGCAGGTAAGAAGCCTAGGAGAAAATGGCGGTCTTAAAGCACAGCTCATGTTCAGGTTACAGGAAATGGAATAAAAAGTACTTTAGGCTATGGATGAAGAAATTTATACCACCTCGTGTTTCTCAGGAGTTCTGGTTTGGCGCTGTAGGATAAATCATTGGACCACAAGATCAGTTTGAACTGCAAGGTCAGTGGTTCAAATTCATCAGCCACTCCTCGGAAACCCTATATGATGAGGTTACTATGAGTTGGAACCGACTCAATGACACTTAACAGCAACTACATATTTCTCAGGTATCAAAAATATACCCACTCTTACTCCCTCCACCTCCAATTCTTTGGCACATTTTCCTTGCCCTCATTCATGATCATTCAAAATCTATTGAAAAAAAATCCTGTTTTCTTGACAACTTCAAAGATAATTTCTTCCATTCCAATTTGGGCCCCTACTTCCATGACATACATTAGGATCTACTGTTACCAAATTGCATCATCTTCATGATCCTAATTTCCATCCATCACTCTTCTCTCCCGCTCACTCTCTCTACAAGCCTATTCCTGCAAAACTTGGACTCCCCAGAGACTGGTTTCCATTGATCCTGCCCTTTTTCCCTCCATCACTGTCATTTCTTTTTATCTCATTTTGAAAACAGTTTATTCCCGTGGTTCTCACTATAATTATACCATTACATACACCTTCCAAACATTTGTCCTTGTTATTCTCTCATCTTACTTCCCTGGATAAAAATTCCAGTTATAATTAAATTTCATCTTGTGCCTAACCATCAGAGCAGCTGAATTTGTTGGTGAAACAAGTAGATAAACAAAAGGCACAATAGCAACCATAAGGTGTCAGCTAAACAAATTATACCTGCTAGTCCTGGTAGCGTAGTGGTTACGAATCGGGCTGCAAACCACAAGGTCAACAGCTCGAAACTACCAGCTGTTCCGTTGGAGGAAAATGAGGCTTTCTGCTCCCGTAAAGATTTACAGCCTCAGAAACCCTGTACAGGGTCGCTGTGGGTCGGAACTGACTCCATGGCACATAACAATAGCAACAACAAGTCTTCTCAGCACCACTCATCTCTCATTTTGTTATGTGATGGCTCGGGTTTTGTTGCATTGCTAGAAGTGATGCCACAGGTATTAAAAAATCCAGTGGATCACCTACAGGTTTCACAGTGCTCACAGACTAGGAAGAAAGACCTGGCAACCTGCTTACTTTTAAAATGGCCAAAGAAAACGTTATGAATAGCAGTAGAACATTGTCTGATGCAGGGCCAGAGCTTAGCCCTTCAAGTCGAAAAGCATTCAAAATATGAGTGGAGAATAGCTGCCTACTCAAAGTAGAGTTGACCTTGACGCTGGACTAACGCTTTCAGGACTTTCATTTGCTGATGTGGCACAACTCATAATGCGAAGAAAAAGCTAAAAACATCCATTAAGTCAGATATGGAAAGCATGGAATATGGATCTATTAAAATTGGAAGTTGTCCAAAATGATATGGAATACATCAAGATCAATATCCGAGTCATTGTGAGCTGAAGTGTACTTTTTCAGCCATTTTGAATCACACAGTCATATGATCTGCTATGTTAGGAATGACAAATTGTAAATGAATGGCACCATATTAATCAGTAAACAGAACATTTCAACATCTGTCCTGAAGTATAAATCTTGTCCGTAATAAGATAACATCCGTAAGCCTAAAAGGAAAACCAGTGAATACCTATGATATTCAAATTTATGTCCAGACACTAATTCCAAAGATGAAAATATTGAAGTTTTTCAGTCTGGAACTGATCAACCATAAAATCAAAATGTATTGATAATTATTGGTGATTGGAATACAAAAGTGAGATGCAAAGTTAATTGTTGTTAATTGCCTGCATGTGAATCAGTTTGTATTCACAGTGATTCAATATAGGGGTTTCCAAGGTTATAAATTTTCACAGGAGCAAAACGCTTCTTCTTTTTCCTGCAGAGTAGCTGGTGGGCACACCACTGACCTTGTAGTGAGCAGTCCAATGCTTATTTTACAGAATCACCACACTCTCAAAGAAGGGTTGCTAATTGAAAAATATGATGTTGATAATATAAATATCACCAGGGATCACATGATACAATTTTATTGGACCAATTACTTATTCATTACAAATCTATTTCATCAGGAACATAAAGTGTGAATATACACATGCATCTCACTGGGTTGACTCCACAGGAATTAAATTGGTTACATCAATGGAAAGCTCATTATTATCAGTCAGAACAAGACCTGAGGTCATCTGTAGTATATTGCTCATAGGTAAATTCAAGTTGAAGCTGAAGAAAATTTAAACAAGTCCATGAGAGCCAAAATATGACCTTGAGTATATCCCACCTGAATTTAGGGGCAATTCCAAGAATATATTTGATACATTGAACATTAATGACAAAAGAGCAGATATGATGTGGGCTGATATCAAGGACATCATTTATGAAGAAGAAAAAATACAGGAAAAAAAAAAGAAAAGACCAAAATGTGTATCAGAAGAGACTCTAAAACGTGTTCTTTAGACATAGAGTGAATGGAAGTGAATGGAAAAAGTAGTAGAGAATAATATCTGAACAGCAGATTTAAATGGGAGGCTTGAGAAGATAAAGTAAAGTATTATAATGAAATGTATAAAGACTTAGAGGTCGAAACTAAAAGGGAAGAGCATGGCCAACATTTGTCAGGCTCAAAGAATTGAAGAAAAACTCAAGTTTGCAGTTACAATATTGAGGGAATCTATGAGAGAGATTATGCTCATAGGTTCCCTCAATATTGTAACTCCAGGCTTGAAGTTTTTCTTCAGTTTTTTGAGCTTGACAAATGTCAGCCATTCTCTTCCCATTTAGTTTTCCAACTCCAAAATGGAGTCCTAGTGTAGTACTATGGAACACAGCCTGAACCATAAAGTCGGTTTGAACCACAAGGCCAGTGATTCAAACTCACCAGCTGCTCCTTGATAATCCTATACAGGGCTGCTATGAGTTGGAACTAACTAGATGGCATTTAATAACAACAGCAATGATCAAAATATTGAACAGCATGTGTAGCATCAAAAGAACATGGAAAGGGGATACACAGAACCATTGTATCAAAAAAAAAATTGGTTGATATTCAGGTTTTTTAGGAGGTAGCATATGATCAAGAATGAATGATATTGAGGGTTATGCTGGCTTCATAAAATGTATTAGAAAGTTTTCCATCCTTTTATATATCTGGAATAATTTAAGTAGAATTGGTGACAGCTCTCCTGTTTGGTAAAAGTCATCTACACCTGGATTTTTTTGGTTGTGAGTTTTTAGATGACCTGCTCAATATCTACTTTTGTTATGAGTCTGTTATAGGCCTTTAATCCATGTTGAGTTGGTTTTTGTATATGGTGTGAGATAAAGGTCTTGTTTCAATCTTTTGCATATCTATTTCCCATTCAATGTACTCTCTCTTCCCCATTCAATTTACTTTTACCCTTTGTCAAATATCAGTTGGCTGTACGGGGATGGATTAATTTCTGGAATCTCAACTCTTTTCCATTGATCTATGTATCTTTCATTGTAACAGTATCAGGCTGTGCTGACCACTGTCTCCATGTAGTAAATTTTGAAATCAGGGAGTGAGAGACCTCCAACTTTTTTGTTTATCTGGAACTCTTGCCTTTCCATAATATAAAGTTTGTAATCGTGTTTTCCATCTCTTTAAAGACTGTTGGAATTTGGATTGGGATTACATTATATATATAGATTGCTTTGGGTAGCATTGACACTTTCACAACATTAAGTCTTCCTATCCAGGAACATGATATAGTCTTCCATTTTTGCAAGTTTCTTTTGATTTCTTGGAGTAGTATTTTGTAGTATTCTTTGTATAGGTCTTTTGTTTCTATGGTTACATTTACTCCTAAATATTGCATCTTTTGGGCAGCTATGGTATTACTTTCCTAATTTCCTTTTCAACACTGTAATTATTAGTATAGAGGAATCTGACTGATTTTTGTACATTGATCTTGTACCCTGCCACTTTGCTGAATCTTCAAATGAGCTCTAGTAATTTTTTCCTGAGTCTTTGGGGTTTTCTTTGTATTGGATCATATCATCTCCAAACAAGCAGAGTTCTACTTCCTATTTGCCAATTTGGATGTCTTTAATTTCTTTATCTTGTCTTATAACTCTGGCTAAAACTTCCAACACAATATTGAATAGGAATAGTGATAAAGGGCATCCTTGTCTGGTTCCTGTTCACAAAGGGAAGTTGTTCAGATTCTCTCCATTGAGTGATGTTGGCTGCTGGTTTTGTATATATGCTGTTAATTATATTGAGGAATTTTCTTTCAATTCCTACTTTGCTGAGTGTTTTTTATCAGGGGTGGATATTTGATTTGATTTTGTTAAATGCCTTTTCTGCATCAATCAATATCATCGTGTGGTTATTTTCCATATTTTTACTTATAATGGATTAAATTGATTCTTTTTCTTATATTGAACCATCCTTGCATCCCTGATATTAATCCCACTTGGTCATGATGCATTATTTTTTGATGTGTTGTTCAATTCTGTTGGCTAAGATTTTGTTGAGAATTTTTTGCCTTCTAAGCTCATGAAGGATATTGGTCTATACTTTTCTTTCTTAGTGATATCCTTCACTGGTTTCGGTATGAGGATTATGCTTGCTTCATAAAATGTATTAGGAGTTTTCCATACTTTTCTATATTCTAGAATAATTTGAATAGAGTTGGTGACAGGTCTTCCATGAATGTTTGATAAAACTCACTGGTAAAGCCATCTGGTCTTAGACCTTTTTTGGTTGAGAGTTTTTTGATGACCTGACCAATTTCTTCTTTTGTTATAGGTCAGTTGAAGTTTTCTACTTCACTCTGTAAGTTTAGGTAGGCCGTGTTTTTCTAAAAATGCAGCCATCTTCTCTAGATTTTCAGATGTGTTGGAGTACAACTCTTCCTAATATTTTGTTATTATTCTTCT